GGGCATCCAGGGTAACTGATTAAGGATACAAATGTCCCTCTCTGAACCCTGATTACCCTCGGAAGTGATCTCCATGTTCTCTGTACCAGTTTGCCCTCTTCCACTTCTAACATGCAATCAGACTAAGAAGGCACTCTGAAAGGCATCAGTGCCCAAGCCAGCCACAGCCTCCAGGCTCTGACTCCTACCCTGTTCCTGCTAAGCAGTTGACTCACTGAGCTCATGACCGCTGGGCTGAGTGTCATTTCTCCTCTCTCCCCATCCTTCCAGTAAAATAGAGGAGTGGCTACATTCCGTCATTCTTCCACCATTTGTTGTACCGCCTCCTGTGAGCAAGGCCCAGGCTGCAAAGATGGGTGGGCATAGGCTTGAAGCCCTTGATTCACGACAAAACTAGCTAAGAGCCATTTACAAATAAAAAGCCATTTCAATTTTTTTTCTTTGAAATACTTTCCATTCTCTTGCTTCCGAACTCAGTCCTTTTCAATAGTGTAGTGTTATATTCCCTCTTTCATGGGCTGTGGTGGGGCAGATTAAAAAGCTCAGGGGAAAAATAAATACTATCCTCTGGGAACTGAAGAACCCAGCAGAGGATAGCTTATTTGCTCTCCATCTACATGGAGAGGAACAGTCAGGCAAGTGACAATGAACTATGTTGGAAAAGTCCAGAATCCTTGAAAACAGGAAATTCAGGCAACCCCAAGTGATGGTGGAAATGAGAGAGAGAAAGGACTTTTATTCTTTGGAGTGAACACCACCTGGACCTCACTCCTTCTGAGAACGGGTCTCACCTCCCATCCAAAGGAAAGCTCATCCAGCCTCCCTGGCATCCAGAGCACAGGGCAGCACCTCAGCCTGCCAATCAGATGCCCTCACCTCAACCCTGAACCCAAAGCTGGTGGTACAGGAACCGTATAGGCTCCTTTTTTGCCAAGTGGTAGCAGCTATATCTGGTGCCCTGAAACCTTGGGAGAATCCACTGTCTGGAATTGTCTGGTTTCTAAAATCCAGAATCATCCATTCCGATCCTTTTGTTTTACACATGCAGTGTGGAAATAATGAAGAACCATCAAATGAACACCGGCAAAGGCTATTCACTCAGAACTTGCTTTGGAAAGGGAGTCAGCCCTGCTTCACCTGCATTTTAACAGAGACGGCAAAGCAGACAGAGGAGAGGGAGGATTTGTAGTGGAAAGGGGGAAGGTTTTAGGTGTGCCCTGACAGGAGGCTGTTGACATGGGGAAGCCATATGTAGATTAACTACAAGTTGGGCATTCAGGGTAACTGATTAAGGATACATATTTGACTTTTTCTAGTTGGTCCTATGTTGGAGGAAGAGACAAAAATTAGTGCAGCTATCAGTTACTAATCAAGTCATGACCATTGGGGTCCAGTTGCAACAGGGTCATTACTTCCTGGATTTATGAATAGAAGAGTGGTCTATCTTTCTACAAACATGACTTAAAAGATTGTAGTGGCCTGGCTTCCTGGACTCTTTATTGTAAATATTGGACTTGTTTCCTGGGCTGGGCCTGCAAATTGTGGGTCAGAGTTCTATTTTACATAGAGTCTGACCACTGTCTATTTGTATATTCCATCGGGTCAGCAGAAACTGAGGCCCACAGGGGAAGAATACAGCTAATTGTAGCAAGTGCTGATTGGCCCGTCTGAGGGTGACCATGTTTCTCCTGTCATTGCCAAAGAAGCTGACGTTCTGTTTATTGGGGGAGACAAGTTAGATTCACGGAGAGACAAAATTCAACATAGATGTCATAGAGAGAGGTTGCACTGGGAGGTTAATGGCTTACTCTGCAGCTTGGCAGGAAGGCTTGTCACTTCCACTGCTGGTCAGGCACGTTCTCTGTACTGGGCCTGCTGTCCTTCCAGAAAAGTGCAGAGAGAAAAAGCATGGTTCTCCAGCCTGCCTACCTGCATTCCTCTTTAACATCTACCATCCATAGCTGTGTGAACTTGGATTAGATTCTCTACCTCCTCATTCTTCAGCTTCCTCAGGTGTGAAATGGGAATAATCCCTATCTTATGCTCGTGTGCAAACTAGATGAGCAGACCTGAGCAACACAAATAAACACTTTGGTAAATGAACTAACCTATTGAGTCCTCGAATCAAGTTGGTGTGGTAAGTCATATAATCCCCACTTTGTAGATAAAGAAACTAAGGATGGTGATGTCACTTGTCCAAAATGGTGAAGGTCAAAGTCAGAATTTTCACTCATGTTTCTAGGAAGATAAAGGTCATTATTTTTGTCTACCATGCTTCTGAACCCAAAATACCATTTGGGGGAAAGAGAACAGTGGGGTAGAAACTATGTAGGACTGTAGTCTCAGGAGTCCCACATTCAAGTCTTGGTTCTCTATTAGCTATAAAGTATCGCACAAATTACCTACCATCTCTGGGTATATTATCACTTTTAAACTGATGATAATACTACCTGCTTCACAGGGCTGTTTTACAGATTAAATACCATAATGTATATGAAATTCCAAGTATAGTGCTCAGCACATGGGAAATACTTAAGAAATGACAACTGTTTTTTTCTACAGTCCCCATTATCTTCAGAAGGTATATTCTGAGTACCCTAGGGGATGACTGAAACCAAGGATTGTATTGAACTCTCTATATAGTTATTCCTCAGTGTCCGAAAGGGATTAGTTTCAGGCCCCCTTTTCTCCCCCCAGGATACCAAAGTCCAAGGATGCTCAAGTCCCTTATGGTGCAGTATTTGCACATAACCTGTACACGTCCTCCCATTTACTTTAAATCATCTTTTAGATTACTTATAATACTTAATACAACGCAAATGTTATAGGAATATCTGTGATACTGTATTTTTAGGGAATATCAATAAGAAAAATGTCTGTACATATTCAGTACAGACACAACCTTTTTTTCAATCCACAGATGCAGAATGATCAGATTCAGAGGACTGTGTGTGTTCTATTCTTCTCCTGTACATATATTCCTACGATGAAGTTTAATGTATAAATTAGACACCACAATAACTAAATGAAATAGAAAAACTTTTAACAATATACTATAATAAAAGTTATTTAAAACTTAGAAATAGTTTACTTCTGGAATCTTCCATGTAATTTTTTCAGTGATAGTTGACAGTGGGTAACTGAAATTGCAGAAAGTGAAGCTGAGGGTTAGGGGAGACTGTTGTATGTGATTGAAAGGGACTGTCAAAAACCATTCTGGAGAGTCTGTCCCTCGACAGCCCTGCTTTCATGAAGTTTTCCCTTAACCCCAAACTGGGTTTGACCTCTCCATTGTTGAATTTCCCATTATCAGTGCTGGGTAAGGCAAGCAGAGGAGAGACAAGGAGGAGCAGATGGGTCTTGCCAATGGAGGAATAGACAGGCAAAGAGATGACCGGTCAGTGGCAACATGGTAACACAGAGCCCCCCCCCAAACTAATACATCCCATGACCCAGACCTCCAGAAGAGTCCAAAACACTTTCTAAAAAAAAAAAATGGAGAAGTGTTGTCCTCGGCTCTGTGGGTGAACCTCAGACAAGCCCATCTGGAAGACCCGGATCCTCAGCAGGTAAAAACACCCTCCCTTTTGCCATTCTTCGAAGGCGATGATTCTCGTTTTAGCACTGAAGTCCACATAGCTGGCTTCTCAACTCTCTTCCTGAAGACTCAAAGCCAAGTTTTTTGTCAGACAGAACCAGGAGACATGCATCTGGTAGAAGAGGGATTAAAAAGGATAAAAATCTCACAGAAAATAGGTGATTGTAAGGGAATATGAATAATATAAAACTAGAAAACATAAAAGACCCTCTCTTGCATCACCTGAGAAGAGGTTTCTGTTTTCCAGAGGAAGAAGCTAAATTTCAAGAAGGGTAAGTTCTGTACCCAAAATCACTCTGGGAATGAGAATTGAGTTATAATTTGAACACATCAAATAATATCTAGGGAGAAAAAAGTACTTAAAGGTGATTATCCATGGATTGTGGGATTATGGGTGATTTCAGTTTTCTATATATTTTTCTGTATTTTCCAAATTTTCTGTACTGAGCAGTTGTTATTTGTATACTGACAAAAAAACGTGTATCAGGTTAATATTTGAAGTTACTAGAAGTTCATAATATTTTATGTTCAAGTTATTAAATACTAATTAGTCATTGTTTAACCTTAATAATACTTAAGGTCATTATTATATAATAATATAACACCAATATACTTCAAGTTATCTTATTACTTAACTTTAATCATATTTAAGGTTTATAACATTTCAAAACTATATCAGGGCCCAGGCTAAGGACAGAGAGCGGAAATTAGAGGCAACCAAAGTGCTAGCTGAAGAAGCTGGGGAATCAGCCTGAGTTTGTTGTTCCTGAATTTGGAAAAATTAAGCTAAGAAGCTGGGGTGCAGTTCAGAGTAAGGGGCAAAGAGCAAGGAAGGAACCAGGCCAAGTTAGAACTCTGACTCTGGGAGTTCAGGGAAGCTCAAGCTGAAGAGGGTTTGGAAAGAAAACATTTTGGCTTAACAGACACAGAGACAAAGACTTGACCTAGCAACAACCAGAACTCAGAATAAGACAGAATCCAAAATGGGAAGGCCGCCCCAGAGAGCAAGCTTTCTGGGCAAGGCTGTGGATCTAGGCTCTGGGTCTATGTGTTCTTGACCCTTGTCCTGGAGCCCCATGCCCACTGTGTCCGGTGTTGTCATCAAGAGTCCTGGCACGGCACGGTGGTATGGGAACCAGGATGAGAAAGGAAACAGGTTTCAGAGAACACTGTAAGCATGGAGCCAAAGCCAAGGTCCTTTCTGTGCATCTGTCCTGGAATCAGAGAGACGAGTGAATTAGGAAGTAGAGCCAGGAATGATTTCCCAGGAGGAAGAAGGCCAAGTTCTTGCTTCCATCTTCCTTCCTGAAGGAGCAAGAGGACCCTGAGCAAATGAAGATTCAAACTCATCCACAACACTTTTTCTCACCAGAAGCATTTTCAAACATCAAGCAAAGAAAGCTTTATTAACACAACTACATGTTGACCATGCAGGATTCCACACCTGGAAGGTACACTATATGGGTTGGAGTCAGGTTGGAGTGCTCAGTATTGTAAAGACAGATCTGCAGTTTCATCAGAAGATCTTCCATACCACACAATAGTGGCTATTGGTTCAATTTTAAATATCTCACATTGGCATTGGCAGTGAGTAGATATGTCCTTAGTGCCCCTCCAGCCACTCTTAGAATTGAGAGGCTTTGTTGACAGTATGAAAATACATCACCTGCCTTAGTCAAGCTATAAATATAGCCTGGGAATGTTTTTCCATCTCATATTCAAGTCGAAAAATAAATAAGCTCAACAGCAAAAAAATAAATAATTAATTAATTAATAAATATATCTAACGGCAGAAGAGATATTACAAATATCTTATAAGATTTTGGTCCAAATTAAGATTAGGGACACATAAAGATGACCACATAAGGAAATAACTAATGAATAAATAATCTACACCGTGACCAGCACTAAATTATATGGCAAAGATATCGTAGCTTGGGGTCATGTCTCTGTGGTCCAGGGGACTAGGATGCCTGCTCAGGAGTATTCTCAGCCGCCTCATCACGTCACTCCTATTCTGTCTCCTCCATCCATCGCAGAAGAATGTCTAGTTCCCCCAAAGCCTTCACCACTGCTTCTTGAAGGTCAAGCTGAAAGAGACACACATGGTTAGCAACTCCTCTGGCTTCAGGATTAATCTTCTTCTCTCCCATTGGTAGGTCTGTTGGGAATTCTAAACAGAGCATTCTTTTCAAGACCAAGAGCTTGAAAGAAGTGCTATAATCTCAAGTGTCACAGGATGAAAGGAAACCATGGAGTCTACCACCCTGGCTTATCATCCCTATTTTTTTACATAGGGAAACTGAGGCCCAGGAGGTACCAGAATTGAAACTCCAACCTAAGCCTCTGATTCACAGAGCTCAAGAATGAGGCTGTTTTAAGAAGAGAGAGAGAGAGAGAGAGAGAGAGAGAGAGAGAGAGAGAGTGTGTGTGTGTGTGTGTGTGTGTGTAAGGACTGCCTACTGTGCACACTTCAATAATGTGAGAGATGGCCCATGTGACCTCAGAGAGCTCTTAACCTGAGGGCTACAGGATTTCTACCAGCGCGACATACATCCCACGCGTCTGTGATCTCAGTTCCAACAGCACACTCATCCCAACCAATGCCAAACTCCATACCTTTTCGAAGTGACTCAGAATCTGGCTATATTTCTCCGTTGCTTCTTCCCCACAACGGCATGTCATGCGGGCATGCTGAAAAGGACCCAAAGAATGATTTTACTT